GAGGCATGGCATGAGGGGTCGTTGGTAACAGGGCCCAGATGCCCAGGGTGATAGGCACCCAGAGAACCCAGGGCAGGGCATGAGGTACTGACGAGGAGTCATTGATAAGAAGGGAGTAAGGTGCCCTGAGGTACTCACTAGGGGGTGCTGGTGAGGGAGGCCACTATGCCCAGGGGTACATGGGGCAGGGTACCCAGGGTACTCACTAGGGGTCATTGGTAAGGAGAGTGGACAGGGTGCCCGGGAGAACACTAAGCATGGTGTGGGGTACTCACTAGGGTTCACTGCTGAGAGGGGGCAGGATGCCCAGGGTGAAACAGGGCATGGGGTGGGGTACGCATGAGGGGTCATTGGTAACGGGGGGAAGGATGCGTCGCGGGGCACAAGGCACAGCATGGAGTATTCAGTAAGGATTGTTGAAGGAGGGGCTGGGTGACCAGGGGGAAACGGGGCCTGGTATGAGGTACTCACTAGGCATCGCTGGTGAGGTGGGGGCTGGGCACCCAGGTGGACATGAGACAGGGTATACACTAGGGGTTGCTGGTGAGAGGTGGGCGGGGTGCCTGGGGGGGGGCACAGGGCAGGGCATGGGGTACTCAGGGGGTCACTGGTATAGGGGAGGCAAGGTACTCACTAGGGGGTCATGGGGCAGGGTGCATGGGGTACACACCATGGTTCGGTGGTGAGGGGGGCAGATGGACACTCACTAGGAGTCACTGGTAATGGGGGACAGGGTGACCCGAGGGGATATGGGGCACAGCATGAGGTACTCACTAGGGTTCACTAGTGGGAGAGGATAGGGTGCCCAGGGACTCAAGGGACAAGGTGACCAGGGAAGCAAGGGACATGGCACGGGGTACTTGCTAAGGATCACTGGTAAGGGCAGCAGGATACCCATGAGAGTGCCTGGGTACTCAATAGGGCTCGCTGGCGAGGAGGCCAGGTGCCAGGGGTTTGGGCATAGAGGCCCAATATTCACTAGGGATTGCTAGAGAGGGGGGCAGGGTGCTGAGATGCATGGGGTAGGAGCATGGGTTCTCACTAGGGACTGCTGGTGAGGAGAGCAGAGTACCTGGGTACAAACTAGGGGTCACGGGAGAGTGGGGAAGGGAGCCCAGGGTAGAAGCCCAGGTACTCACTAGGGAGAGCTAGCAAGGGAGATGCCTGGGGGTGAGGCCGGGTATTCATTAAGAGGCGTGGAGAGGGGGATGCACAACGCAGAAGCCCAGGGTGCAGGACAGAAGCCAAGGTACTCACTGGGGACGCTGGGGGGAGGTGGCCATAACTGGATATTCACTAGGGGGCGCTGTGTGGGGAGGCGCTGCGGGGGTACGTCGGGGGGCCGGAGCCGGGCACTCGCGTGGGGGGGCGCGTGGCGGGGGTACGTC